CCCCAGAGTGCCCCTATGCTTAATGGCTCATATGCCATAATTTGTAAAAAAAAAATTTGTTGTGCCATATTATAGTCTATTATAGTCTGGATGCCATAAATCACATAAAAACCTCATTTTATTCTTAATGAATTGGTTTATGACATATCTGATTTTATCCAAAAATTAATATTTAAATAATTTCGTAATTAATATATTAAAAAGTAAAACGAAAATTAATTAAAAAAATATGATTTTTGTTTTCTTTTCTTTCCAATTCATGTCTTCATCTTCAACCCAAACCTTTTAAATCTCATTTTTTGCTTTTGCCTCTTCCTCCTCTTCTCCTTCTTCATCCTCTGTAATCAATTTCTTGTCTTTATCTCCTTTCTCTACCATTATTGTTGAAATTTCAAAACTCAGTTAGGTTTTTATTTAGAGATTTGAGGATTTCACAATTTAGAGATTAGATTTCACAATTGAGGGTTTTTATTTAGAGATTTGCAAATCGGGTTGGTAACCCAATTTATATGACGATTAGATCTTTGCATCTATAATTTGTTGAATATAGTTGTTGAATTATAGTGATTCTTAGATAAATTAGAATTAAAACCCGAATTCATCACCAAATCTGCAGAGAAGGACAACTAGTACGAATGGTACAACTAAAAGATAAGAGGACAACTAGTACAACTGGTACAACTATGAGATAGAGGACAACTGGTACAATTAGGTATAACTAAGACAACTTAAATAATTGCTGATTGGAAATTCTTCTATTATAATTGCAAATCGGATTGGTAACCCAGTTTTATCTGACGATTAGGTATTTGCATTGATAATTTCTTAAATAAAGTTATTGAATCATAGTGATTCTTAGGTAAATTATAATTATACATGAATTCATCACCAAATTTGCAGAGAATGACAACTAGTACAATTAGGTACAACTATGTATAAAAATTGATATCGCACATAGGTGCACATGTTACTTTGACGGATAACTGGACACTTAGGAAAGTCAATATAGTCTAAAGGATTTTCTTTTAGCCGAGGATGCTTTCCGGATGGAAATAAACAAGGTATGACTGAACACATATGTACAACTATATGTAATTCTTTCATTAGAAATTAATAGTGATAAAAGTATGAATATAAAGCAAACATTCACCTAAAAATGTAAAAAAAGTTGTAAACTATAAGGAATAAAATTAAAAAGATGGATAACATGAAATTATCATTTTTCTAATACATATTATTGGTTTCACATCAAACACCCTTTATGATACAAAGAATTGATAATGTTAACAATCTTACGATGGAAAAGAGCCAAAAATATGATTTTGCATCAATTATAATATGAAAATGTTGTAAAAGGACTACAATAGTCTAAAATCATGTGGACAACTACAAAATGATAATTTATATCAAGGGACAACTGAAAAAACTGCTAAAATCGCCAAAGGACAACTATGAAGAATTTTGGATAACTGGACAACTGGGTACAACTATGTACAAAATTGACGGCGCACGTGGTACTTTGCCTGCGCACATGTCCCTTTTTGTCGGCGCACATGTCTATTTTATTAATTTTTAATTGATTTTAATTATAATTTTAAATTATATACGTGTCTAAATGGATCAAAAAAAAAATTATTCTCAGCCGCCATCTCACACGTGCGTCTACAACTGACAACATAGTTGTACCTAGTTGTTCAGTTGTCCAAAATTTGTAATAGTTGTCTTTTGATCGATTTTGTAGTTTTTTCAGTTGTCCTTCGGCATAAATTTTTATGTTCTAGTTGTCCACAAGAATTCCGAACATTATATAGCAGCCCTAAATGCTTTGTGTTATTATTTTTCTATTTCTTATATTTTTGCGTAGACGCTTGCATAAGATGGATAACATTGTCAAAGACTTTCTTATAACATAAGGGCTTATTTCAAGTGAAACCAAAAATATTTGGTTCTTTGAACAAAACAAAGTTTGATTTTATTCTTTCTAGTATAAATGTGAAAAAAACAGTTTTTAGGGTATGAGTTGTATTTGTTTTTAAGTAAATAATTTTAAGAATTTATTTTTTAACACTACAATTAAAATATAGTTGTCCCGAGTTGCACCTAGTTGCCCTAGAGAAATTCATAACGTAATTGTACCTAGTTGCACTTAGTTACCCTGCAGAAATTCATAACGTAATTGTACCTAGTTGCACCTAGTTACCCTGGAAAAATTCATTGCGTAATTGCACCTAACTCCAAAATAAATAGCAATGCAAGAAATTAAAGAAATCCAAAATACAATAACTCCAAAATAAATAGTAATGTAAGAATTCAAAGAAATCCAAAAAATTCAAAATACAAATAACTTCAAAATACTCATGTACACTCTAAGGCCGAAATAAGTTGAATCTTTCATTCAGCAGTACCTTGTTTTTAAATTAAGGAGTTATAGATAATTGTATATATGTGTCTAACTGTACCTTATTTATCCCCATATGGAAAAAATTTTCTCTGCTAAAATGA